CTAAAAAGTATAGAAAATGGCTATTATTCTCGAAATTTGCTTTTGTGACCATGTTATAAATGGGCTGGAAGCCTCATCATACCTAATTGCATACACAGTATTGAAAGCCTTTGCATAAATATATTAATTTACATTAGACATTTACATTAATCTTGAAGTAAGATTAAATATGCAAGTTTTTATCTTGAATATATGTTAGGGAGTAATTCTTATGCATAGGTAGATGTACGCAAATTGTCCAGTAGGTGATAATTTTGTGAATTAAACAAAAATGTGACGGTTTAGGTAACTCGAGTTGTTTTGTATGTTGATATTTTATTAATTTAATTAAGTTATGTAAATGAGATTATAGGCATATGTTCTGATATATTAAGAAGAAGGCTATTATTTAATTTAAATGTCCTGTTTTGAAGGTCCATTTTTTTTAATTTGGATTCTGATTATATGAGTATTATGTATCCCGTATACTCAATTAACATGTCTTAAGGTATAGTAGTTTATGGGGTATATTCTGGAATGGTAAATTTAATGGTTGGACCAACTCGTCTAGACAACAGCTGATTCAATGCTGCCAAGATTTTACCTGTAACTGTAATGTATGTATGGTAGCCAGATATCATATTGCTGAGTATATGTAATGTTTTACAAGAGTAAGAGTAGAAGTAATACTTGTAAGCTGTTAAATGATTAATCAGCAATTACTATTGATAAGTTTTATATATGATAGTTGAAATTGAAATAAGTTTATTGAGGTAAAATACACACAAAGGGATGAGGTAGCTCAAGCTATTCTCACCCCGTTTATATGATAGTTCGCATACCTTAGTTCATTAAAAGCAGAAGTGGCAGAAGGCGAGAGCCGGAGGATAACGATCCACCAGGAATGTTAAAAGCCAGTTGGTATGGTGGATTCTTGGCATTTCAAGGTGCTAGGGTTTCGTTGGCTGATGTTTTTTGGCTAAGTAGTGCTTATTTTTAGTAGCGGTTAGAGTGTCAGGTTTATACTGAGAGTATTTATGCAAATATCTCTTGTTTTTCTTGTAATATAAGTATTGTAATTAATAAGGAATAATGTTTTTTGAAAGGTATTGGTTGCTCAGGTGATAAATTCTGTTACTGTCTCGTGGGAAAGATAGCACTCATTTAAAGTTCTTATGGAGCTATTTAGCTTGTCATCCCTGTAGACTGGAACCATTCTTAAGGCGGCATCTAGATATGATTATGCTTTCCCTCACTGTATTTCTACACCTGTTCCCAGATTGAATGTTTGCTATTTTACATCTAGTGTTTTTACTAACTCCTGAAACCCTTGTAAATGCAGGTCATATATAAATTTTACAGTATCTCTTAAGTGAGGAACGGGGGTGTGGGTACAGGCCAAGTGGGATGGCTAAGATAACTGGCGAACAACAGGCAAAATCATAACAGACCAGGATAGAGATAATTTGAAATTTATAAATTTTCCAGAAAATTCCAGGTAAATTTAATGCCTGCAACCTGAACGAGTTTAGTAGGTGTAAGGTGTTTAAGCCGGTGCCTCTTAACATCACATCAAGGAGCCTCAAATCCGTGCTGCTTTGTAATGGGAACAAGTACCATTTTCTTCCCCTGGCTCACTTGGTGCACCTCAAAGATTACTACAGCATAAAGACCTTGCTGGAAGCCTTGAAGTATGATGAGTATAGCTGAATCATCAGAGACTTCAAAATGGTGACATTCCTGATGAGTCTCCAAGACGATTTTATCTATTTCCCGTTATCTTTGCATTGGGGACAGCAGGGACACTAAAACACATTACCGAAGACAGGACTGGCCGCAGTAAACAGAGTTCTCTGTGGGGTGGAACAATGTCAAGTTGGAGCCACTGGTGGACCCACAGAAAGTACTGATGTCACCACTTCATATCAAATTGGGGCTCATGTAACAATATGTCCCAGCTTTAGGTACGGAGTCGGCAGCCTTCAAGTACCTTCAAGACTTCTTTCTTAAGCTGTCTGAGACAAAGATCAAACCCGGTGTCTTCGGTGGACCACAGATTAAGAAAATCTTGGAGTTCAAGGAATTCCCCCAAGAAGTTCTCAAGAAACGAAAAAACGAATTAGAACATTTTTGTCGCAGTAGTTCCAAAGTCCCGAAATTTCAAAACAGAAAGCTATGTGGAACTGGTTTAGTCTTTGGTGAAGAACTAAGGCACAGTGGACCGCAGGATGTCCCTCAAAATTTATGTTCTCTATGGTCATCTTTTATAAATTAAAGGAGAACATAAGAGCGTACGCGGAAGAGCAAGGCGGGTGCTCTTATACCAGGATATAAAGAATAACACTGAACACCGATATCAAGGACAGTATAAAGAGAACGTGAACTGATTCGTAATAGTGATTTACGGTACAATCATCTCGAAAAACTGCTCACTTCTAAATCTTTTGCGGTCATTTTTGTGCAAAAATTCGCCCATTTTCTAAATAGGAAATGGGTAAATTTCAAAATACCACTGTCCAGGTCACAAAAGCAAAGTTTGAGGGGAATAATAGTTACCCTGGAAACACAAACCGAAACTGTCTCCATTTTCCGCTTGTTACAACTTGTAATAAAGTTGTTACATCTTGGGTTAACGTGTTTATGACGTATTAGAACGTTGTTACAACTTGCTATATTGGTTATTATAACTGGTTAGGAGGTGTTAAAACTTGTTCGAACGTTGTACCAACGTCGTAGTTTCGGTGTGTGTTTGGCGGGTATTTTCTATACTGTTTACTGCGGCATAAGCAATTAGTAAATAACACTTACTACCCAGGTACAAACATATTTAATTTGTGTTACGGAACAAATTACCAAATAACATAGATATAAGACTGCTGATTTTTTTCATGTGTAGGCTAGACATACGTATGACTGATTTTGGGTGGATATAAATAGGGACTGCCAGGTATGGGCCAATAGACCTTCTACAGTGTCCTCTTGTTTATCTACATAATGGTTCATTATTTTTTTATTTAAAACTGGGTATCTATGATTAATTATTCATGTGCTATGTAGTGGGTACAACTGTATTTTATTTGTATCTTAATTGTTCGCGAGCACCTAGTAAACATGATCAGCTGTGGAGAACGTGAAGCACAAATTATTATTACTGGTAGTGTTTTATCCTGGTGCATGTTTTGAGACCATGATATAATAAGTTGCATATAGTCCCAGTTGTGAACTAGTAATGATCAACTATGAAATAGTTGAGGCTAGTATTGTTGGTGGTGTAATGTTGCCACGACAACTCCTACACAGTTCACTTTAACGTTAAACATTGCCGAATATACAATGGGGTATTATCTGTAAGGACTTGTATGACAGTTATTTCACTTACCTTGCAGGGTGAAAGAGGGTTCTTGTTGTCCACGGTGGTGGGGCAGAGGTCACATACATAGGGCGGTGCCGTGCCTTGGAGAAAGTCAACCTCATCCTCACCACCCATCTCCTCATCATAATTCATCATTAATTCATGTGACAAAGGAGCTGGTAGAACAGTTGTGAGCGATTCCAGTCCCTTTCTCGTTACGTCTACCTGAGCCTCAGGCAGTTCCTGTCGTTTCACCAAGTCTACCTGACCGTCGGGAACGTCCTGTCGTTTGACTATGTCTACCTGAGCGTCAGGCAGTTCCTGTCGTCCTGCCAAGTCTACCTGAGCGACAGGCACTTCCTGCCGTCCTGCCAAGTCTACCTGAGCGTCAGGCACTTCCTGCCGTCCTGCCAAGTCTACCTGAGCGTCAGGCACTTCCTGCCGTCCTGCCAAGTCTACCTGAGCGACAGGCAATTCCTGCCGTCCTGCCAAGTCTACCTGAGCGTCAGGCACTTCCTGCCGTCCTGCCAAGTCTACCTGAGCGACAGGCAATTCCTGCCGTCCTGCCAAGTCTACCTGAGCGTCAGGCAACTCCTTTCGTTTGGCCAAATCTACCTGAGCTTCAGTCACAAGAGTCTTGACCGTGGTGGCGGTAGAAGGATGCGTAGGGCGGTGAGAAGTGTCGATGTGAATACCAGCAGCTGCTGGTGGGGTTCTGGAGCCTCGCGTCCTCGCATGATTCCCCTGCACCGGTGCCGCAAGAACAGCTTCTGGGACCCCGGTCAATGTTCGGGTTTCGTCAGCACTATTCGAGAAATGATGGTGGTTAATAACTCCAGTTTCTTGCTTCGGGTTTGTTTTAGTTCGTTTGTTATAAATATTCGATTTTTGAAGAGAATTTAAGTAATTCCGCACTAAATATAATTGGGACGGTTGATGTCTTCTAATATTTACGTTGGAGTGCACCAGACGAGTTATAAGTTTGGAATTGGCAATGCTGCTTCCAAGAACACACTGCCAAACACACGCACACACAACACAAAACAATAGCTGTCGTAACAAACACATGATGCTAATTAATGTCACACATATATTATTTTATCTTGTATAATTTATTCTGTATTGGCTTCTGTAGCACAGGTGCAGTACAAATGTCCGCCTGAAGACTGGCTACATTTGGTGAATGCACAATGAAATGACTTACACAATTTGGATTCAGCACGGGTATTAATCATTTTAATTAGGCTACTAACAACATTTTTGAGCGAATGAGAGTCGTTCACAATTCAGGTTCATTAAGTAGCAGTTCTAGCGAGACGAGCTAGTTCGATGTTTCATTTTTTTCGAAGGAGGGACGAGGCTACCACTGGCCCGTCGTGGAGGAGACGAGGCTACCACTGGCCCGTCGTGGAGGAGACGAGGCTACCACTGGCCCGTCGTGGAGGAGACGAGGCTACCACTGGCCCGTCGTGGAGGAGACGAGGCTACCACTGGCCCGTCGTGGAGGAGACGAGGCTACCACTGGCCCGTCGTGGAGGAGACGAGGCTACCACTTGCCCGTCGTGGAGGAGACGAGGCTACCACTGGCCCGTCGTGGAGGAGACGAGGCTACCACTGGCCCGTCGTGGAGGAGACGAGGCTACCACTTGCCCGTCGTGGAGAAGACGAGGCTACCACTGGCCCGTCGTGGAGAAGACGAGGCTACCACTGGCCCGTCGTGGAGAAGACGAGGCTACCACTGGCCCGTCGTGGAGAAGACGAGGCTACCACTGGCCCGTTGTGGAGAAGACGAGGCTACCACTTGCCCGTCGTGGAGAAGACGAAGCTACCACTGGCCCGTCGTGGAGAAGACGAGGCTACCACTTGCCCGTCGTGGAGAAGACGAGGCTACCACTGGCCTGTCGAGGAGAGGACGAGGCGACCACTGACCGTCCTCGAGAAGACTAGGCTATATATATCACTGACTCGTCGTGGCGGAGGCGAGGCTACGACTGACCGTTGTAGAGGAGAAACTACCACTGGCCCGTCGCGTGGGGAAGTGAGAGGAAGGGGGCAGCAAGCGACGTCTTGTACCACCACCGCCAGAAGTTGCAGTCTCTCGCGGGAACTTTTATTTACTTTCCTGAAGCAGGTGGTGAATCATTCCGCTTCCCGCCTCGCGGCCACATAGTCTGGGATAACTCTCGCCAGAAGGAAATCTTTCAAATACCAATGTAAGTCTTGAGGCATACATAACAAGTAGTGGCGGAGGGTCTCGGGTCTAAATGGTCCTCCGGGCACCTCACTCATCATGACAGAGGCGATTACAGTGCTTCATTACTTGATAATTCTGCTAGTTTACAATTCAGATTGGATTGAAGAACACATAGGGACGTCAATCCCGTTGTTATGGTAGAGTTGGTGGCCATACGCTCTCTACTATTGGCTTCCAGTATGTTTAAGTACAGTAACTTAACGTCTTTGTAAAGTCTAACTCTAACGACGTAACTCTAACGTCGTCGTCTTTTCGTCTTCTAGTGTGTAGTTTGGTCAATAGTACAGTAACTAGTATACCTTAAGTATTAGTAAAACGTGCGGTATTGATCTGGATATAATTTGTTCAACTTCCATTACTAAAAACATTAAAACGGGCATTTTTAAAATTTGATTAAGTTTAGGTTCAGAGCCTTTAAACCACTGTCTCATAAACGGCTTCACTGGCTGTCATAATACATGGAGTCTGGTTATGAGTAAGGCCATTTAGTTTCCCATTGCATGACTATATTAAGTATATAAAATATGTTTATGTAAACCGAAGGCGCTTTATCTTGTTCAAGGTGGGCTCCCAGGGCTGCCAGGGGTCAGCTGTGTAGGGAATGAGATGAACTATTTCATCCAGAGAGTGAGACCGAAGGCCAGATAGGGACTTTCCAGATGGCGCGCCAGTACACTGGTTTAGACAGGGTTACCACCGTGCACTAGCAAGTAGCTTTCGAAGCTCTAAGAGTCTAGATCACCCGCATTAGGTCCCGGAGGTATCGCGTGGCGGAGTGACGTGGCACACTGAAACGTGAATCTCACACTTAATCAGAGAAACCTAACATGGATGTTCTTCTTTCACAGTAATGTGTTAAATATGATTTGTCTCTCGAGTCGATTCCAGGGAATTTTTAGTGGGATTAATCAACTATTTCCTGCATTGCTATCCTTTACTTACAGAGTTACCTGCATTCGTACCCTTTTATTTTTACCTTGTATTCGTACCCCTGTGTCAGCCCATCCCCCCTAATTGAAAGTACTTAAAGTAATGATATGATCGAAAGTACATATGTCGTGATGGACCAGCAGATAATAGACTTTTGTAGTATTGAATTTTGACAATCCAGAAAAGTTATATTTATATTGCTAATAATTCTAACCTAATCTAACCATCCTAAGCCTAATACGTGCTAAGGCTTTATATAGTACAACAACCTATCCTCCTGTTTAGATAGTACCTATTATGACGGTCGTCAATAGTCACGAATTCGTAAGTACTTAGTTAGCTTTTAGATAGTAGTATACTGACTAGTAAAGAATTCTTTTAAAATAAATGAAGCTAAAACACAAACTTAAATATTCTTAGGCCTAGTATAGCACACATATGTGTGTGTAATATGACAATATTAGGCCTCAGATATCGTGTATTAGGCCTAGGGGTTAGGTTTAGTTTGTCAAAGCAACACAAGTAAAAAATTGTTTTCCGGTTTGTCCAACTCAATAGTTCTTTTCTTACTAATTTCGTTGTACGTCGGTATATATACTATGGTCCTCATCGTTACTATAAGTACTGCCACAACAGGAGGATGGGCTGATATATATGTGCTATACTTGGCCTAGGAATATTTAAGTTTGGTTTTAGCTTTATTTTTCCGGCCTCTATAAAAATAGTATCAAAAAGTGACACCCTAGGGCTCCATTACTACATACTGGTACGATCGACCACATAGTTACAGAAAGTACCATCAAAACAAGAGGATGGGTTGCTCTTTACATTCTAATCCTTTACAGATACCATTACCTGCATTCCTATCTTTTGCATCCCTTAAAACCTGCCTGGGAGGCAAGATCCTACAATAGTGTTTCGGATAAAGTATTTGAGACAGTTACGTTCATTGGAACTAGACATCTGGAAAACATTTAGTCTTTTCGTCGAGACCAGTTCCCCCCCCCCAACAAAAGTATCACAATTTATCTCACAGGCACAATGCCTCCATTGTGGAGAACATCGCCCTGAAAATATGCCATGCGAGGGAGGGCGGAGCTGCTCTCTTGGCTGTAACAGCTCCCAAAGTTTAGAACATGATGATGATGATGAGTGCCTCTAAATTCATGCATGGACTAAGTCACCTATGCACCCCTGTTCCCTCCCACATCGCCACCCATGCCCCCGCCACAACTCACCGGCCTGAAAGAAAGACGAGAAAATAGACGAGGCTTTTTCTCTGTAATTTTTAATCATATTTTTCGTTTTAATTTTATATTACATAAAAACAAAATAATTATAATAGTGGAGTGGCGGTTAATGTGAAAGATATAATATTTGGGAGAGGAGTTTGTGTGGATAGAGTGGTGTTGGGTATAGCGTGCAAGGAGGAGATTTAGGGGTGGTATTGGGGAATAATGTGACGCTGGTAATGTAGAAAAGGATGGCGTAGACAGGTAGAGTGTGGATGGGGTAGGGTCGTTGGAACCACAAGTGATAACATCCACCACACGATAATTCGTTGTTTGGCGAGCCGACCTGCGCACTACTCTGGGGTAGATTAGGGGAGGTGTGGAATTAAAGTGGAGGGGTAATGTTGGGTTAGTATGGAAGGTTAGAATTGAGGTTTCCTGAACCGATTATGTGCCTCTGAACCCTTTCCACCACCGCCCACGGAATGGGTATGGGGTGCATAATGAAGAAAGAAGATGAAGAAGAAGGGGGGGGGTATGAAGGGAGTAGAGATGCGTGGAGGTGAGGTGATTTTCTTTAATACATTAGGTACATCTGCATTTGTGCAGCTACCCGAAAATATATGAAGTGGAGTACAGTGTGTGTCAAAAAAGCTAACTACGTGATGCTAAAAAATACCCATCACACAGGATGGTTAGTCATACAGAGGCATGTGACAGGCAGTCTGCACTGGCAGACTGAGGATGCATTTTGAGGATACCAACACAAGAGTGAATAAGGTAGCAGTTGTAATAAAAGTCCCCATTCTCGCAGGATGGTTAGTCATACAGGGTCATATGTTTAGTAGCCTACACTGGCAAATTTTGGATGCAATATGAGGATATCTCCATGAATACGAGAGTGAATAAAGTAATTGCAAAGCTCCAGGTACTTCATGCCAACTGGTTTGAAAGGTAGGTGAGGTGATAACGCCCCCACAAGTCCTGCCCTTGTTGTACCCAGGACGATCACCCTACCTGAATAGGTAACATCGTGAATGAGAATACACTACGAATGGGGGTAACATCATGATTAACACCACGAATGAGTAATACCATGTTTGAGTAACACTATGAATAGGTAATGTGAATGGATGTCACCATGAGTGAGCCAACGATAAATAAACATAAATAAATACAGGTATAAATCACTGACGGCTGTTGAGTCACAGATCACAAGAATTTATAGAGTTTATGAAACAAGATTCAGTGTCAATTCAATGTTTTATATATATATATATATATTATATAATATATAGTATGTATAATATAGATCTCTATAGGTACAGTATGTTAAGATAACAGATATTCATAGCCACATGTCTATTCCAGTAATCCTCAACCAACTCGTTTGTAATTAAGAAAATTAATATCATTAACATGTTAACGGGCTCCATTACTAAAGCACTGAAACATTATCAAAGTTGTGCTTGGGTAGATAGATATTCACGTGATATTATTTGGGCAGCGAGAGCTTAGGCAATACTCTTGTAATGTTTTATTGAAAAGTATGAATTATTATTCATTAACCCTACTGCTTTGCACGCCTATTGAGCACTTTACCCCCAGTCGAATCTAATGTGTATCAGGATTCCCTGAGGATTTTACGAAATATTTCAAGGTTTCCTCCAAACAAAAAAGGTTGGAAATCATTGGTATATTCACTCGCGGCACATTACAACACGGTTTAAAAATCTAAACTTGTTTTATAACATAATACTAAGATCAGGAATACATAATACTTGACCCCATTAGTTTCCTGGTTTGACCTTATGAATGTATTCAGAATTAGAGTATGTGATATGATCAACCCAACCCGTCCTCCTAATAGAACGTCGCATTTTGACGTATAAGGCCAAAAATCGTCGTACTAGAAAATGGTAGCGGCTCACGAAATTGATATTCTGCCCCGTTTTCTGTTTTGGGTCCTCTGGTAGGTTAGGATAAGGGCACTTCAGTACGACAGTTTCTTGACGTTGGGAAACCTTAGAGAGGACGGGCTGCGTTATTAACAGCAGTAGAATAGCCTAGTAAAAAAAAAAGACATGAATGACAAGTTCACAGATCACAGATCTGTGCAAAACAAGCTTTTACTGTGATTCTATTCACTATACATATGAAATACAAACGCAAAATAGTAAAACTTTATATTACAAGTTTGTTATGTTTGTTATTACATCTATTTTGTTATGGCTATATATACTGAAAATTACTTATGTATATATAATTATTAGGACATTTTGAATGCAACAGAGGCGATTATAACACTCTTGACATGTTTTTATTAGTATGAAACATGTTTTAAATTGGTATATATAATTGTTGCATATTGAGTTAATGGAAAAAGGCTTTAATATATGGATGTATGATTCACACACACACAAGGAATTATTCAGAACCTTGTATACTACAAATGCCAGACCAATCCTGGAATATGCAGCTCCAGCATGGACTCCGTATCTCGTCAAGCATAAGACTAAATTGGAGAAGTTTTAGAGGTATGCCACCAAACTAGTACCCGAGCTGAGGGGTATGAGCTACGAGGAGAGACTACTTGAACTACACCTCATGTAGTCTCAGGAAGGAAGAAGAGTTAGGGGAGACATTATCACCACATAAATGATTCTCATAGGGTAGATAAAGACAATTTATTTAACACAAGGAGCACACGCACAAGGGGACACAGGAGGAAACTGAGTACCCAGATGAGCCACAGAGATACTAGAAAAAACTTTTTTTTAGTGTCAGAGTGGTTGACAAATGGAATGCATTAGGACGTGATGTGGTTGAGGCAGATTCCATACACAGTTTCAAATGTAAATATGATAAAGGCTTGGGAATCTGTACACCGGTTGATTGACCGTTGAGAAGCGGGACCAAAGAGCCGAAGCTCAACCCCCACAAGCATAACTAGGTGAATATATACACACACACACAATCTTCAATCAGTTGATTGACAGTTGAGAGGCGGGACCAAAGAGCCGGAACTCAACCCCCACAAGCACAACTAGGCACACACACACGCGCACGCATACAAGGTAAACGCGATAAGAAGGAAGAATCTATATTTTCTTGAACAAAATTTTTCGTGTGAATCTGAACAGGAAACGTCAGACTGCTTGCCGTAATATCTCTGTAATCATCGACAAATTGTTGAAAATGTCGTGGGAAGCAGAAGGCACGCCAGCAGGAGCACCCAGAGAGAGCTCCTGCTGGTGTAATGACCGCTGGACTTCTGTTCAACACACAAACAAACTCTACCCAGAGCCTAACACGCAGTGCACTTAAATACAAAAAAATCTGTCCTTCCAATCCGGGTGCATTTAAAATATTTAGGCTTCTTGCCGCTTAGCGGAATCCTTTAGTGGTTTGTCCTGGAAGTCCTGTTGGCTACAGGCGTCTTTCGTCTTTGCACCATGATTCCCTGAGGGAGGACTTTAAGGTATGGCTTAGGCCTCGTCAGGTGGCTGTGGCGGCGCTGGAGTGGTGTAGATACCACCCCTCTGTGTAGATGTGGTGTAGATACTGCCCCTCTTGGGTGTTTCCCGTCTTCTTCAGCGCCTCCTTCAAGGGCGGAGATGTTCAGGGTCTGGGACGAGCACTGGGGAACAATAACGTCAATAGGTGTGTTGTTGAGGTTCGGACAGCGGAAGTCGTCGAAGCTGTCGGCGACCGTCGTGTTCGTGGCGATCCAGCAGAAGTGGACATCGCACGCGAACGGATTACCTGTGGGGGAAGACACAACACACTTATTGATGGTCTCGCTTATAAAGACATAATTAGTATCGTCTTCGCCTTCTAAGGGATAATTGCATTGCCTGTCAACACCCTGATACAGTAGTCAGCTCTGCACACTAGCAATACTCACAGGAACTTGGATATCCACACCTGTCTTCAGATAATGATTTTAAATTACACACTCATAATCAAATATTATTTTGATCTAATTATCCTCAGCCTAAACTTTCAAGCGTTACAGTGAGCACTGTTATTAGTTATGATTATTTATTGAGTATTATTATTTAATTATTTGTAGTGGTTGTAGTATTATCATTGCATTATGAATTATTATTTTTTATTAGTATTTATCATATTATTTATTATTATTGGTAGTAGTAGATGTATTTTTTTAATAATTACTATTATCGTTGTTTTTATTATTGTGATGTTGTTGTTGTTTTAGATTTAGCTACTCAGAACGAAATGTCCATGTAGCACGGGCTATGGTGAACCCGTAATTTTGTTGTGATTATTATTATTATTATTAATAACCACCTCCTCCTCACTTCTCACCCTCTCCTTACCACCTCCTCTTCATCTCCTCTACTCCTCATTCTCTCCCTTTCTCCCTCTCACACTTTTAGCCTATCCTCCACCCCCCCCCCACCCCCTGAGATTTTGAATAAAACCGCCTACAATCTCATTAAACTCAACATTTCTTTTAAGTACAATCTACCTGTCTCTGATATTCCTCTTTATCTGTGCCCCACCATTCAAGTATCATACACATCTGTCACCAAGGTAATGAGAATCTTGCTCTTCTCAAAGCTGTCACACTTGAAACAATTGCCTCCTCCATCGAGAGTCTAAGATCTCACGCGCACTGTGTCTACACCGACGGCTCAGTCCAATCTTCTACTGGACGGACTGCAGCGGCATGTAGGTTTTATAGAAATAATATTTGCACACAGACTGTCAGTGTCAGGTTAAACAGCTGGCTGACCTCCACACAAGCAGAACTAGCAGCATTACACCTAGCTACCAGTACATTAAAAAGCCTTGTAGGAGGAATAATATTGTGATTCAAAGTCTGCTCTTCAAGCAATCGAAAACTTCTGGAAGATCAACAGCAAGGTCCTCATGCTACCAATTATAAATGACCTAATTGCTGCACAGAGCAAAGGGTTTCGAATCTCCTTTGTATGGATACCATCACACATAAATATAACCCATCATAATGAGACAGACATTGCAGCCAAATTAGCGAGCGTGTAACAAGGATGAAGCTGAATTAGATCTAGGTATCCCCATTTCTACTGTCAAGACTATATTGTTCCAAACACTCAGGTCTGATAGGATAGAAATTATTGACTCCCAACGACCTGAAAGCACCAGTATAAAGAGCTATAATTTATTCAGATCTGAAACCTGTTTATGGGCAGCACAAAACGTGGACCAGACTGTGCGACACAGTGGTTGCCAGAATCAGGTTGGGTTACCGTGACCTGTGGCAGGTGGTTACAGGTGACGGATCTCCCAATCCTGAGCACTCCAGGTGCAAACTCTGTGAGCAGGAACTGCGGCATGATCTCCCACACTACATCCCTGAATGCCCAGTTATTAGACCTTTCAGACCAGTTGGCATAAGGTACCTGGAACTGTGCAATTACTTTATTCACTCTCGAGTTCTTGAGGATATCCTCATATTGCACCCAAAATTTGCCAGTGCAGGCTACTAAACATATGGCCCTGTATGACTAACCATCCTGCGAGATGGGGACTTTTAATATCACTGCTACCTTATTCACTCTTGTGTTGATGATATCCTGATAATGCACCCAGAGTCTGCCAGTGTAGACTACTTATCACATGCCTCTGTATGACTAACCATCCTGTGTGATGGGGACTTTTTAGCACCACGGAGCTAGGTCTTTGACACACTGTACTCCCCTTCATATAGTCTAGGGCAGCTGCACAAATGCAGATGTACCTAATGTGTTAATACAAAAAATTGCCCCTGGGAAAATATTGTGTAATGTCTTATCGTCCACAACACTGTGAGTTCTCACCCCTCACGTTTTTCCTCCTCCTCCTCCTCCACGTCCTCTTCCACCTCTTCCTCCTGTGGGTCGCTCACCTCCCTTGTCAATCCCCCCCCCTCCCCCCTCCCCCCCTCCCTCCTCCCCCCCACGAATATCGCCATGACATTGCTTAAATATGTGCCGACGCAATGGAGTTGTTCAGCCCACTCAAGAGGGGAGATGGACGAGAAAATCAGAGTAAATCCCTGGTTCACTAGGCAATGCAGGGAAGCAAAGGAGAAAACCTGAAATCATGGAAAATGTGCAGAGAAATAGGAACACAGGACATCATTGAGGCACTGAAGAGTGTTAGAAGTGAATACTCTTGAGTCGGGACGGAAACTGAGAGACAATGTGATAACAATACTACAGCAAAACCTAAGGACCAGTCAAAGTTGTTCTATAGTCATATTAGATGGAAAACAACAATAAGAGACCATTTGGTCAGGTGGTTGTCGTTGATTTAGGGACGACGACGATCGAGGGAATGTGGTCTTCACATTCTTCCATCTTCTCTCTTCAGCCTCTCTTCAGGCTGAAGAGAGAAGATGGAATTCTAATGGAAAACGACAAGGATGTGCATGAGGAACTCAACAAGAGATTTCAGGACCTCTTTACAAAGGAACCAGCATAGAGACCAGGTTTCAAGATGAAAGCCCAGAGGTAAAACTAGATAACATAGTAGTCGATGTAAAGGAGGTTAGAAACATGGAGGAATTAGATGCACCTAAAGCAATGGGACCAGACATGATGTAACTATGGCTGTTGAAGGATTCTGCTGAGGTATTTTGTCACCACTAACTAAAGTTATGTTTACAGACCAGTGTCACTGACAGGTATTCCGTGAAGGGTACTGGAAAAAATAATCAGGTTAATCAAGTAATCAGAGAATAATTGAACATATAGGGAGTATAAACTTTGTAACAAAAGGGCAATATGGATGTAGAAGGGGAAAGTCAATAGGTTAATAGGATAGGTTAAGGGAACTAGATCTCGCAACTCTAGAGAAGCAAGTAAAACCAAGGGTATGTTGAGAAAGATCGCAACATACAAAATACCAAATAAAATTGATAAAGTGAAGACAGAGGTAGAACGAGAGGACTTAAGTCGAAGCTGGAAATGCGTTGTAGAAATGTAAGGAAGTACTTGTACCCCTATACGGGTGGCCAACAAGTGGGATGTACTGAAAGAAGAAGTTATAGAAGCCACCTCCACCCACAATTTGATAAAGAATTGACGGTCAGACTAGTACAATTATAACGCAACACTTGTAGAAAGGCCGTAACCTAACCTAACCTAACCTAACCCTCACTTCCCCGTAATCACTGCTAGGTGAGTACTACTGGAGGCCGGATAGCTGAGTGGACAGCGCTCTGGACTCTTAATCCTAGGAGTCCCGGTTTGATTCCCGGTGATGGCAGAAACAAAATGGGCAGAGTTTCGTTCACCCTGATGCCCCTGTTACCTAGCACTAAATAGGTACCTGGGAGTTAAGACAGCTGTTATGAGCTGCTTCCTGGGTGTGTGTGTGGGAAATAAAAATAAATAAATAGTAGTCAGTAACAGTTGAGAGGCGGGCCGATAGAGCACAGCTCAACCCCCGCAAGCACAACTAGCTGAATACAATTAGGTGAATACAACTAGGTGTATACTGATAATTAAACCCACACAGGCTCACCACACACGTCACCTTGACACCTTTGGTAACCTTGCAGCCCCCGTTCTCTTGATGTGCCACAACGTACAAAATAGGACGTGCTAACCAAACCAGAAACGTACGAACCCAAGCCACCCACCTAACCTCACCTACCGATGCATAGAAAACGGGGATATTTGTGAGCCGCTACATAGTACTTTGTAAGTTCTACGTTGAGGACTAAAAGGTACAAAATGAGACGTACTACCTGACAGGGCTGACTCACGAGCCTCACTCAAGCTGGGATATGAGAGATGTTCCTACCTATCCTTCCACCAATTCCCCCCATCCCCTCTCTCATCCCTATCCCCTCCATCCCTTTCTCTCTCCCATTTCATTATCGTATCGTTTAGCCAATTGTCTGTCCCCCCGCCCCCTCTTCCCCCCGCCCCTCTTCCCCCCGCCCCCTCTTCCCCCCGCCGCACTCCTGATAAATATGTTGTGTAATGTGCCTTATCACACAACTGAAGGTCCCAGACCTTCCCCGACCTTCCCTGACCTTCCCCGACTTTCCCCGACCTTCCCAGACCTTCCCCGACCTTCCCCACCCCTAGTGTCCTCCTGTCCAACGCTCCTCCCTCTACCCTAATGTCGATAGTCAATAATCTTGGTTTATAGTTTGAGATATTAGGAAGCCTTCACAGTTTTGGTACAATGCCCAACTGTAATGATTTACTGGATGTATTCTACAATGGTCGGCTAACTAAGGTCTGTTAACATTCTTTCAGGACCTTAGCGAATATTTCGTCAGGTTATGGAACTTGTTTGGCTCCATTTTTTCCATATATTTTACTGATTTATTCACAAATAACTACACATTAAATTGCTTTCTTGATTTCTTCTCTGCATTTTACCTGATTTTACCTGAGGGCCACTAACCCTAGTGGCCTCGACGAGGACAGGAAGCCGACGGCTTGTCGATGGTCCCGCCATTTGCCTTGATGAAACTTGATTTTATTAACAGTGAAACTAGAGAGGAGCCAGCATAGGTCTAGGAAGCACAAGAGCTCCGCCCTGAAACTCCAAACGTATCTGGTATCTTACCAGGAGACTCCAGCTGAGTCAACACCACTATACTTGTGTGGACTTAACCTAGATAATGAACCTACGGGCTCACCATAGCCCGTGCTGCTTGGAACTTTTTGTTCCAAGTAGCGAATCTTAAACAACAACAGATAATGAACAGGAGAAACCCTTCCTACCTTATGGTTGGGCACCTTTCATTGACTCCGT